AAAAAAAAAACCTGAAGTTGTTTTTCCTAAGTTTTTGTTCTTGCATTTATAATACTGAACAATTTCAATTCATAAGAATCAATTAAATGCAGTCAAAAATTAAAGCAAGCAAATCATGTTTTATTTTTAATATATCTTTTGCTACACAATTAATTGCACAGAGAAATCATTTCTAATTCAAGTAAGGCTTAAAATAGTTTAAGTTGTTATGTAGTATAATGTTACAACAAAATAATAAATAATCAAATTTAAAATAGACTTCCTATATTTTTGCATTAAAGTTAAAAATAATAATAATACTTTTCTCGCTCTTAAAATTACATTATTATAAACTATCAGAAACAGAATACATTTTCCGATATTTCATAAAGATATCTTCATTCAAGAATTTTACTAGTATGTAAATTTTTAAATTATTAAACACATTAAAAGTATGATAAGCCTTTATTAACTTTATTTAAATGGGGTTGGTTCTTACTCTCGATAAAAAGTTTTCTCATTATCTCGTTCGGATATTTTTTACTGCTTTTTCCGGATATTTTTTTTACTAAATTATCCATTTTTTACTTTTATTAGCTTACTACTTTTATTAGCTTGTAACTCATTTTTGGTTTGTTACGTGTGTATATTTTTAATCTACGCTACGATGCATGGTAATACTGCATTTTCAAAAGTAAAGCAATTTCAGAAAACGTATATCGCATTTAGTTTTTGCAGTTAAATCTTAATTTTTTTTTCTTGAAGGAAATGAAATAAGACAAAAAATTATTGAAAAAAAACTATGGAAATTATTTCTGAAATCTACTCTGATCATATTTTTTGTGATTAGTATTTGGCATTATAAATTAATGTAATTACAAAAATATAAAATTATAGATTAGTTATATGCATTCAATTGTAACAATTTAGAGTGTGCACTTACTGAGGCTGTTATAAAATATGAAATTAAATAAATGCGTTCTATAATTCAGTTTTCGCACGTGTTTTTATTGTACTAAAACTCGTTAAAAAATGTTTTTGGCGCTAAAATTTTTAATTCGATTCTATTTTCGCAATTAATGATGGCATATACTAAAAAATTTCCTCACACATATCATTAACTGTTATTAATCTTCATTCGGCCAATATTTTAATTTAAATGCAACAAAATTACAGTTAAAAAAATACAGCTCGATTTGTTTAAATCTTCCTACATTAAAAAATCGGAAATGTCGAGACAGCTATTTTTGGTGTTTTACTTTACACTTTGTCCCGATATGTAAAAACTGTAAGACTTTGAAAATTTAAATTAAGATTATGGGTAGAACAGTGTACAGTGAATACGATGCAAATAAGAAATTTCCTCACACATATCATTCACTGTTATTTATCTTCATTCTGCTAATATTTTAATTTAAATGCAACAAAATTACAGTTTAAAAAAATACAGCTCGATTTGCTTAAATCTTCCTACATTAAAAAATCGGAAATGTCGACACAGCAATTTTTGGTGTTTTACTTTACACTTTGTCCTGATATGTAAAAACTGCAAGACTTTGAAAATTTAAATTAAGATTATGGGTAGAACAATGTACAGTGAATACGATGCAAATGAGAAATTGATATTTGATTAACTGTTAAACTTGTAGTAAAAAAATACTAAAACGTCGATCCCTCTGTAAGCTATAAAATGCTACTACAGAATTGAAATTTGACGTGATGAAAGAGTTATTTTTTTAAAAATCTTAACACGAGTAACTTTTAACTTATAACTTTCGAGCAAACTAGAATTAACTTTTTTTTTAATTCTAGTTTGCTCGAAAGTTATTACATCTTCAATTAATTTTTCGTGAAATTTTGTCCCCAATTTTTTCTTTAAATGATGACTATTTATTCATTATGTAAAAGATAAAAAAGATCTCTCTCGAGATTTTCACTATATAAGCTCGCTTTTGATTTGATGACAATAGTAACAACTAAAATATGAACAAATATAACAAAAAATAATAAATTGGGAGATTAGTTATCGTCAGAAAGCAGTTGTATTGGCACATTTGCGTTAAAATTCGCACTTTTGACGCAATTGTAATGATATGTTTAAAAATATAAAAGGCTCAAGAGTGTTTGCAATTATTTCTAATTTGAACTGTTATGTGATATGAGGTTATCGTTAGATATTGTTAAAAAGTAAAATTACTTCTTATTGTGTTGCACCATCTGTAATTCTTAGTTTAATTTTTTTTCAAGTAGAGTTGATTATTTTTTTTAATACAGTTCTTTTTCAATTCATGATTAACATATTAATAAAATATGCTTACATATTAAAATTATATAAAATTTATTTTATGAACAGAATGATATTTTTCGATAGAGTTTTAAGAAGAAAGAACAATGTTAACTGTAGTTTATTTTCGTCTAATCAAGACGATGGGTTGGGTTTTTTGAACTTAAATAAAAATTTGCAATACCATTTGAGTTTAATGTTTTTTTTTTTTTTTTAAGTAATCTAAAAAAATCTACATGTCAAAGATTGTTAAAGGGGAAATTAGACAAACTTTGCATGCTATTTAAGTGCAATTCTATAATCGCATTTTTCACAAATAAAAATTTATTTTTTACTATTCTATATTCCTTTCCTTCATAATTAACAATGAAAGCTGTAATATAATAACATTCAATTCAATTTAAGGCGAATAATGCTTTTCAAAATTATGTCCAAAATAAAATTCTTTGGGTTAAGGTGCCATGACAATTTTGCGATGAAATATTTCGAACACTAAAAGTGTGATTGACGAGTTATTTCCTTTGAAGTGACGTAAAGCGAATAAAGGTGGATTCTGTCAAAGTTCGCTTTAAAAAATGATCGTGAGTTCGAGCATCAGGATATCATAAAACGCAGTTAAGATGAAATGGAATTTGACGCGCTTTTACGAGACTCTTCACTTGATTTACAACCTTTTCTGCTAGATTAAAAACATATTTCTGTGAAGGCATCCAGAAAATATACCATAGACAGAGTTAGCATAGACAAGCATGGATATAAATAGATATGTAACAATTTAGATTTGAAGAAGATGCGCTAATCCTTTAGAGTATAATTCTATATAAAACATATTTTTCATATTTCCTTCATCATTATTTTGTAAATATTTAAATCGAAATAAAGGAAAAAAATTGTGATCACATTGTTACGATCACTGGTTATCCACTGGTCAAATGTTTTTTTTTCTTTTTTTTTTCAAGTAAACTTTCATGCACACCGCAACATTTAAAGTTATGGGTTGCAGTGACTTTATGGCTATATATATTAAAATAGCCCCCAATACAGCATTTTTAAATAAGTTAATCATATAAAGAGTATAAAAACTCACCAATTTAATGCGTAACAAAATTAAAGTAAAAAAAGAATTTAAAGAAAACTTCTAAAAAAATTATCAATTCGAAGCGGTCGCCGTAGCACCGCGTTCAATGACAACGCATGCACACTGTTTACTATTGCTCTTGAACACTGTTGAAAAGTGTGATGACGTCCAAATAAGGTGCGCACGCCATCAAACTGAAAACAACACCCATTTTACCAATGGGTAATATTATGTTTAACATTTTAATAATTTATGGTTATGAAATACAGCATAAACGACCAGTGTCTTTTTCGGCGTTGAACGTACCATGTTCTAAGCACGACTCACTTCCAAATAATACTTTTTCAAATTTACACTTATTTGCAGTAATTTAGTTCTAAGAAAAACTGTTGTTCATCATTGAAATTTATTCAGTTTACCGAATCAATTATTGATGAATTTTTGAGTATGAATGAAAAAAAAAATCAAACTACTTTCATGGATTTTATTTCTTAGTATAAATATAATTCAGGTCATCTAACAGATTTTTTTACAACTCTTAGACTGTTTGTTTTAATAATTAAAAAATACCAAAATACATTTTTGCTTGTAAATAAAGCATTAGAAAAAAAAATGCATGAAAGGGTCATCGGTGCATCAAGGGATAAGAAAAACCAAACATTTCTTCCAATTAGTATACTTTAAGATTTGTTAAATGTTTCATTTATCATTTGTTTATTGTTTTTTCTCATTCTAGCTTAACGTAGTCAATTTCTATTAGTACAAACACTGAAAAACTTTTAATGAGAAAATCATTTTTTGTTTTTCTAAAAAACTTATTTAAGGACTATATATAAAGAACTATCACTTTTACAATTTTTCAAGTGTGTAATTTTTCAAATTTTAACTTATTAATCGTTTATCTTAAATGCAAGTCTTGCGACACCTAAACGTTTTAAGTCCTATTATTTTATTCTGATAATTAAAGATGTAGATAAAACGTTTGAATGTCATTAATTTAAGGTTTTTCAATCTATGTAACTGGATCCTATTACCTGGGGAAAAGTATAAAATGTCTAAGCTTTATTAAATAGACGGTTTTAGTATTATCTGGATTAGTTTTAAAAAATTGGTATCATGTTTAAGTTGGAATTACTGACTTTGATATGAAGACAAATGAGACTGCCAACAGAGCAGGTTATAAACTGTTTGTGGAGCTTAGTACCAAACAAACAATTCCAAACAAATAATTGCATTTTGTGGATTTTTTGTTATTTCTTAAATTCTATATTTTTGTTAACTTTTGATGTGTTTCACTTGAAAAAGCAAAATAAAAGAATGCGGATCTTCTGTTTGACTTAAACAATATAAATTATTAAAATTACGTTTTTATAGTAAGTCCGTGGAAAGAAATATCCCCAAACTTTTGAATAATTCTTTCTAGGGTATTTACTTGCTCGCTAATGCAAAATAATAAGATAATAGTTTACTCTTAAAATATAAAATAAATCAAAAAAAAGTTTGTCTTTTGTTTGTTTTCTGAAAAAAATGTTTAAAAAATGTCAAAAAAGGACAATATACTTTTTTTGATTTTGGATCAGATAATATATAGGTGCATGTATTGAGCTTTTAAGCATGAGAGGTGGAAATATGTGTGTAATAGATATTGATTTATTTTAGGACATAAATAATGAAAGGAGAAGAGCACAGATGGCTGCCGCTCGGCAAGTTTTAGAAAGATCTACAGCATTGTTACTTACAGCATCGAAGGTAATTTTCCTTTTTTTTAAAAATATTATGCTCCATATTTGCTTGAAATCTCGGAAACTTTGTCAGTTTCATAAAAATAATTTAGGCTACTTTGAAATGATCCTGGAACCGTTCCGGACAGGTGCGCAACTTTTTCCTCGTAATGGAAATAACTATTTTCCATATTGTAATTTTTTTGGAATTAGCTACACTGTCAAAAATCATATTTAAAAAAAAGAAAGAAAAAACTGGTGAAATGTCTCTATTGAAGAGTATCCGCGGGCCTTGGAAACTTAAAAAAGTGGTGAGAAAAAACAAATGACTGTCGATATTTTAATATCTTTGTTATCAACTCATCTTAAAATTTTAGACCGAACGCATACGAGTTTGAATATTTTGCGCAGCTAAATTTTCAAACTCGTATTTGATATGTAAACTAAATATTCGTATTTGTATCGTATTTGGTAAATAAATTTTCAAGCTCGTACAAATGGTAAAGTTTAACATGATTTACTTGGTAGATAAAAAATGATCTATTCTATTGTATATTTCAGATTCTTTTTTTAATTTTTTCTAAATCTGTATTGTTCTGCTATAGCTCTAAAACTCTTAATTACACTAAGTATGTTGGAAAAAAAACTGAACCTTTCTCAAGTTGTTGAAATTTGTTTTGCACATAATTGAAATATTTTGAATTTCGTGAACAAAATTTTGAGTTTTGAACTTCTTTTGTACTTCCTAAACAAAATTTTTTATCATATAATAATCATATTTTTGTCTAACAAACATATAAAACAGAATTTCGAGTTAAATCACAAAATAATTTTTATTTTTATTTTCAGCAGGACGCTTGATGCTAATTGTGCATCAATTAATTACTTGTAATGAAAAATTTAAACTTTTTACGTCAAATAAAGTAAATGTAAATCTGGCGGAAGTAAAACTTTTTAGGTCCAGTTTTCTTTCGTTTTCTTTTTTTTAATTTAATTTTTTCGGAACAATCTTTAACATTATTTCGTTTCACAAATGTCTCGTTTATCAAAACATTAAAAATGGAAACGTATTCAATAGTGTTGATAAAGTTTAGGGAGTTTAAGTTTTTTTCATAGATGTGTATGTTAGAGAGACTTAGAAAATTTCAAAAAACTGAATATATTTTTTAAACTTTTGAGAAATAATATGCTAAATTACTTTAATTTATTATTAATACTCCAGTTAATTTTATTTAAAAAGTCTTGTTATTTTTCATTGAAATTACGAACTTTATGTTTATTTTGTTACTTAATCTATCTTAAAATACGTTTCAATAAACCCAAATCACGAAACCTAATTGTTTAAATGTTGATTTTCAAACCTAAATTTTTTATTGTTACTTTACATTTCTGAATTCGAAAAATTAAAGATTTTTTTTTATGTTTATCCTTATAGAAATACAATTTTTATGTTTTTATGCATAAAAAAGAAGGTAAGGCGGCTGATGCGCAGTGCTGACCCCATTGCAACAATCATGCCATTGGCTACGCAATTATGGAACCTTAACCTCCATGAACCCCTGGCTCATAACGAGCAGTTGCAGCGATTTACTTTAAAAATGAAACTATATGTTCATTTTTAAAAATCTAAGTATTTCATGATTTTTGCAAACAAATAAGAATAGCAAACACGTGAGCATGGTAAAGATTTTTTTGCCTGCTTAAAATGTTATTTATTATTTTCGAAAAAAACGACTCCCTATTGCAACGATTTTCATTTTCGTTTCGGCTATAATGCAACCCACAATGATCTAGCATCATTTGTCAGAACCTCAAGTTTATAAATGAAAATAATTAGCAGCATATGAATGTACTAACCATATAAATATGCTAACCAAAGATAGACTACTCCTGGTAATATTTAATAAGAAGAATGATACTTTTTATGAATAATAGATTTAAAACTGTAGATTTTATGTCGAACTGTTGAATTCTCAGGCCTAGAGTGGTATCGAGTCTAGTACGGAATTTATTTTTTTTGTTGCATGTATAATCTGAAAATAAATACAGTACGCTGAATTATAATTCTAGACAAAGAATTGTTATAACAGTCGAGAATAGTAATCAGAGAAACATAATTCTTTATTCCGGAATTTGGTCATTTTATTTAAAATTGAAAAGCTTGGTGAAAAATACTGATGCAGTTTTTTTTTTATAAATACATATCCTTATCGTAAGTTATTCAATATATTTTGTTCAGGGTTCAGGTTAAGTTCATTGTTCACTTCAGGTTAAAAATGATTTTTTTTTAATATCAACCAATTTCAATGAAAATTTCATAGACTGTGAATAAGGCATTTAGAAAGATATTCCCAAAATTTGAAGCAAAAATATCAATTTGTTAAAAAGTTATAATTTTATTAATAATTTATCCGCAAGTTAAATTACAAAATGTTCCTGGCACATGAGTTTTTATCATAGCTGTTTGAAACTCATTTATATTACAGTTTGAATAAGTATAAATAAAATTGGATATGCTTGAACAACTCAGCACTTAATTTTAAACAAATAAAAAATCAAACTATCATAATCTTCATATAATTTTTAAAAATTGAAATTAAAAAGCAATTTAAAGAAATTTAAAAACTATTCAATCTGTATTCAGCTTTTATTTATATCATATTGGTTACGGAACATTATAATAATCATATATAATTTAATAATTAAATATTTTTTTTATATTGCTATTTTTTAAAAAAAAGGAATTTCATAAAATAACTAAAATATGAGATAAATTATGGTTTATTGTTTGGATATAAATTTAAATACAGATTTCAAAAAATCATTACTTCTGACAAAATGTAACTCTTGGATATGTGACTACGGACTCGGACAACGTAATCATTCCACGGAAACTTACGGTTTCGTGGAATACCATTTGGAAACAACTACATTATCAATTGCTGATCAATTGTTGATTTGATCAGCAATGATCAATTGCTGATTGATCAATTGATCAATCGCTGATTTTTTTTAAAAAAAAAATTATTTTTATTTTTCAAGGCATGCCTGAGACATCCTGATTGTGACACAGCCCGAGAAAATCGAGACACGGTGTTCTTGCAGATGAGGCGCTCCATGGATGTTATCCATTTTGTTGTCAAAGAAGGAGTTATTCCAGAATTAGCGGGGACGACGAACAATGGGGAGCCCAGAAGGAACCATGGTATCCATCGGCGAAGTAGGGCCCACCATTACAATCATACAAGAGGGGAGGAGATGGAACAGTGCCTCACAGTGTGCAACGCCATTAAAAAATTTGAGGTATTTTTGATTCAAAAGCTGTCCAAGTAGTGATATCAATTTCAAATTGATACATGAAATATTCTGGATTTAGTTTTGTTAATTTATATAATTTAATGACTCATAAACAAATCAATGTAAAGTGTCGCTACTATGATATATGTCAAACATAAACGAATAGTGTTATTCCTTCCGTTTTTGACTCAGTACACACGGTAATTAGTAAACAAACCATGTAAACTCGCCATAACCGAACGGTATGGTTCATTACCAAACAATTCCATTCTTTCCAAAGAGGTATCGGTATAAAAGATGGCTTTCCGTATTTAATTTAAATTATTTGTTATTTTAATTAGTCCAATCAAACCATGTAACGTGTCATAACCAAACGCTAAACCGTGACTTATAAACAAATTGTGTTATCCATTCCAATGAGGAGCCACTATAAACGGTAAAATTAATATACTCTGTTGCAAGTTAAGAAAAAACCATTATCTCGATGAATAGAGCCTGCTTGCATCTAAATGTACGTCAAATGGATGCCAAACTCCCAGCGTGAACTCATATCACCATCGCCAACTCTTTAAACGACGTTGCATAGCCTACATTTGCTTGCTTTCTCAAATTGTGTGAGATGTGGAAAACAAAACGTATTGAATAATCAATTGAGAAGTAATAAGAATTAATAAAAATGATATCTAAAAATCGTAACAAATATACGTCTTTCAATTCGTATTTATAAAAAAAAACTGATGCAAGAATGATAAATATTGTTTCTTGGACATCCATAGTGAAACAAAAGCAAAAATTCCCTATCTCGCATTTGATTTGTAAAAGGCAGGCCAGCATAAGACCCGTGCCAGTTTTAGTGGTTCAATCAAATCTACATGAAATTGCAAGGTCATATAGTTGTTTCTTCTTCAATGACGAATGTTCATTTTTTATCGAAATATGTAGTGATGTCTATGATTGAAGTAAGAGTTTGAAACTATAACATTTTTTTTTATAATTTTACGATATTTATCGTAAAAGATGGCACGAATTAAATTTCTGTTTGACGTGTTTAAATTTTAAGATTCTTTAAATTGTTATAAAATCTTATTTGTATAATTTGATAACGGAATTATATGCAATAGCGGATGATTACTTAAATCATATTCCGCAATGCTCCTTTCTTAACTTGCAACGAAGTATAACTTTAATTTTAAATAATTTTTAATTTTAATTACTCATAACCAAACCATATAAAATATTCATTGTACTAAAATGAGCTGAGATCTTTAAAAAAAATACGGAAAAAAAAGCAAATTTATCGTACTATATATGGTAATGACATTTCTGAAAAAAAAAACAACATAATTCTGGTTATACGGTATATAAATAAAGGTATAAATACGGTGGAAAATATACGGTGGAAAATATACGGTATTTAAACCAATCATTAGGTAGCTTTTCCGTTTAACAATGTTAATGGTAACAATTAATTATAATTCTGGTTTCCAATTAGTCTGGTTTCCAATAATTAAAAGTATAGTTTTTATTATCTTACATTTAGCAAAATAATATAAAACTGAAAAGTAAATTTATCAAATAATTAGTTTTTATGCCATGCATTTAGATATCATAATAAAGTTACAATCTTTTACCTCATATACCAAATTTAGTCACACATTATGTAACAATATTTACCTGTTAATTTTAGTAAAAACAGTACGAAGCGCTTAGATAAAAATTACAGAGTTCTTCCGTGTTCCCATAGAGCCAAAAACATGGTAAATTTTACCATGGTAGTTTTGACCATACTTTTTTACTCAATGAAGCTTCATATTTTCAATCGATTTAGATATTCAACTTAGAAAATTTTATTGAGTAGCTGGATAGAGTTAAGTTCCTTCAAAAAATCAACAATGAAAAGTAATTTTAAAAAAAATAAAATTGAATAAACCAATGAAAATTATTTTTAATGTAGCATTTTATAAATGTAAACAAACATTATCACGAAAGGCAGAGTAATTTTTTCCGTGGCTTTATCGAATGTTTTCCAGTTCCATCGCCTATGGTAACCATGAGGAATATTCAATGAGATAGCTGATAAGTTATTATTTAAGGAGGGGAGTATTCCCTTCTAAGGCTTTTAAAGCCTTTGATCCATTTAGCCATGTATTCGACCATTTATTCATGATTTTACTATTCTAATTATCTCGACTAATACGCATTTGATGGTTTAGATTCTGCAGAGTAGTTAAATACGTGTACATTATTGTCTAGGGTGTGTTTGAATGTATAAAGAGACAGATTAAATGAGATAAGTATAGTCATCAAATGTAATAAGAGTTTAGAAGCGAAACTTTATTCTATTGACGTGTGCTCTTGATTAACAAAATCTTTGAAATAGATAGTCGAAAATTAATTTTTTATTGTTTAAAGGATTCAGATCTAATAAAACAGGCAAGTTTTCAGTCGTTTTTATTCTATTTAAACGCCTATTTTTAACTATAATTATAAAACACAATTTATAAATAAAATCATACAAATATTTATGATAAATATATATAAAAAAAATCTCGAAGTTTTTTCTTTAAAGGGAAGCCCAGGGCATATAGGAATAGTTTTCAATTTTTTTCCCGGAGCATCTACACTCATATGCTTTTAATGCAATGTCATTTGCTTTTATACTCCGTTGCAGCTTAAAAAAAACCATTTCGGTATAAGATTTAAGTAATCATCCACGAATGCACAAAGTTCTATTTTATTTCGTTATCAAATTCTACAAATATACTTTCAAAACTGCATAAAAGTTAAAAAAAAAACTATATACACGTCAGACAGAAATTTTATTAGTGCTATCTCTTACGATATATATCATAGAATTATTAAAATAATGTTATAGTTTCGTATTCTTTCTGGAATGCTAGATTCGGCGACACATTTTGATAAATAAGGAGAATATTGGTTCTAAAAAAAGAAATAACTATATGGCGTTGTAAGAGCATTAGATTTGATTGAACCACTAAAAATTGTGTATCCCGTTTTGACAGGCTCTTAACAAATCAAATGCGACGTAAAGAATTTTTTACTTTTGATTCGCTGTAGAAGAAAATCATCTGCTGGAAACAATATTTATTATTCTTTAATTAGAAAGTATTATTCAAGAAAACAATAATTTTTATTCAATAAGTTATGTTTTGCTCATTTCACATCAGAAAGCAAGTAATAAGAGGCTGCGCAATGTTTAATTAGTTGGCGATGTTGATATACTTTCAAGCTGGGAGCTTGGCATCCATTTAGCGTGCACTTAGGTGCCAACTGGCTCTCTTCATAGAAATAATGGTTTTTTCTTAACTGGCAACAGATTGTAATGCTCTTATGCTTCAGAATGCATAAACATTGAATTTTTAAAAATAAGATTAAAACTATTTATTATAAGTACAAAAAGAAGGAAGATGATTATGAATATTTTAAGTATACTAGGAGGTTTCGCCCACTGCTCGCTGGCGCTCGCCAACCCCCGGAACTGCTTTCGCAGTTCATTTCGGATTGCTTCGCAATCCGATGCTCGCTTTGCTCGCGCATTGGATACGTTCTTAACGTCTAGCTTTTGTATGCTTTTTTGAACACTGAAGTTCCGAAAACTTTAACTGTAGAAAATTACCTGTGCATTTCAATATTAATTTGAAATTGCAAACAGTTCACATATTTTTTTTAATCACACTATTCTAAATTTCAGTTGTTGAGAAAAGTAACTGTTGTAAGTTTTGTTTTAAAGTCTTTCCCACAAAAGGGCTAAAGCCATGTGTTGTAAAACAATATGAAATAGTAGTCTGCCACTGAACGCCGGATGTAAAGCATCGGCTTCGATGAAGATAATTTTGT